AGAATAAATGCATTTTAAATCCTCCAAAATGATTCAAGAATAGATTGCAAGATTTTGAAATTTACTGTAAAGTTAACTCTACCCAAACGATCACCTTGTACTATGAATTTAGCAGTTCAAGTGAATTTAGCAGTTTTGGCCTGTGATTCTCCAAGTGCCTGATAAGCTTATCATTGTATTTTCTTGTTAAGCTATATACCCATTGTCCATTGGATAATTTCTTAATGATTCAAACAGCTTACCATTTTCTTATCATATGTGTCGTCGGGTTGGATTAGTTTACCAGTTTAAATGGTTTTTATATTTACTCTTTAAGACTGCCAAGACATGTTTAGGTATGGTACTTTTGATCTAATGCATATAGTATGAGCTCGATAGATTTTATTGGTCAATATTTGTTGTTAAAACTGTGGAATTCTAAACAAACTGAGTTTACTGTTGAAGAGGAGAAAATTAAAATATGGGTTCAAATTTTCAACTTACCATTATATTGGATTTCAGCTGAAATTGGCCTGAAATTAGGAAAAATGTTAGGTTCACCTTTAGATGCCCAAGTTAAAATGGGGGAGAGTATTAAGTGGGTAGAGTTTAAATATGAGAATCTTCAGAATTTTTGTTTTTATTGTGGCTTCATAGGTCATTCAAATAGGAGCTGTGTTAAAAAGAAAGATGATATTCATCACAATGCTCTTAAAATGGGACAATATGGTGATTGGTTGAGAATAACAATCTCGGTCTGTTCAAAAGTAACATATATTACAATTTCGGTCATTTTTGCAGAAAATGGCATCGTCATCTTTGAACCCTAAACCCTACACCCACACCCCGGCCCCAGTGACCCCTCACTTCTATATCTTCAGAACCGCCACCGGTCCAAGGCGGTATATGAGGACGCATCGGGGTTTCGCCACGGTATGGTTAAGCCACACCGTGCAGACACCCAGTTCTGGGCTGCCTTGCAGGGCAACAAGCAGAATGCCCAGACCTGGGAGGTGATCAAGAAGGCCGACTTCGGGCCTTTGTTTCGGATGGGGCGGATCCAGACAAACAATTCCCTCATTACATTCCCGCTGGAGAGGTGGCGTCCGGAGATGCACACCTTCCACGTCGACTTCGTGGATGCCACGATCACTCTCCAGGACGTTCAGATACTATTTGGCCTCCCCGCCAGCGGGAATGCATGCTGGGGACACACCGTACAGCGAACTCTCCAAGAGTGGAGAGCCTGTTGCGTGGACGCTCTAGGATACCTCCCATATGTACAGGTATATTTTTACCTGAAACTTTTTTTTGCTTATTTTGTTTTTTTTTTATTATTATTATTGTATTTATGTATACTTAAGTCATGGGTCGTTTTTAATATATATATAAACGTATTTCAAGGATCCCGAGGACTCGGCCTACGACCCCAAGACTTGGGACATTTCAGGCCAGTACCTATATTTTGATAGTTTGGAAGACGAGTGCAAGCGATCTCTGGAGGATGGACTCCATACATCAGAGTACGAGAGGAGGGCGAGAGCCCTGATACTCTGGTGTATTGGGTCCTTCTTCTTCCCCGACCATCGGGCCAACAGAGTCAGCCTTTACTGGTAATCCCTGTTGATTGACATCGATGCCATTCCAGGGACAACTGGGGTGAAGCGCTTCTGGCCGGGGTATATAGAGCGCTCTGCGACGCCTACGAGAGGGAGGAAAAATATATCAAGAGCTGCGTTCAGTTGATTCAGGTAAATATTTACTTGTTAATTGCAAATTAATTTTATTTATTATAAATTACAATAATATGTGCTAAAAAATGTATATGTCCATATGTGCAGGTTTGGGCATGGGAACGCATCCCTCGTATTAGCCCATTCATGAAGAGAACGCATTTCGGCTCTCAGGTTGGTTGTCCCTTGGGTGCAAGGTAATAATAACCTTTATTTATATTCAACACTTAAGTTATTTCAATTATCAAATTTTGTAATTACAAATAGTTTTTTTCTATGATTTTTAAGATGGGTGGGATCGAGAGACTTGAGGCACATGGGGACGGGCACGACTACCATCCGAGATCAGCTGAATGGCCTGAGAGAGACTGATATAAGTTTTTTAGGTCATAATAATAATTATTATTTTTTTAATTCTATTTTTTTATTAAATTCATTAATAATTCTATAAATGTTTTTTTTTTATTACAGTTCGATTGGGTACTCTATCAAACGTACATAGACGATGGTCGGCTCCAGGATCAGTGTACACGAGACCGACATCTCTGCATGTATAAGGGGTGGATCTTCTGCTGGAACATCGGAGAACCCCACCAGCCTGATAGGGTGCTCTGCCAGTTTGGGTGTCACCAGCCCATCCTCCAGACGCCGATCATTACGTGTCTAGCCGACTGGGACACCAACCACAAAGGCCAGGACATGACTGGGAGGGCATATACCGATTGGCGGGCCTTCCATTCTGATCTTGGGAGGATCTGGACCGACAAGAGAGATCAAAATGTCTTCTCAGATGTACCGGTGGATCCCTTCCTGCAGCCGGCAGAGGGGTACATTGATTGGTATCACAGTAGGACTATGAGACTATTCAGTGACTCTAACAACTATGCGGCGATCTCACAGGACGGCGGGTTTCAGCCATATGCTGACCGGGAGAAGTGTCAGGTAAGTGTCTGGTAATTTGTGATTTTTATCATTATTATTATTATTATTGAAGTTATTATTATTATTCTTATTTTTTTTTAGCTGTTCATAATAGTTATTTGAATTTAATTTTCAGAATTTGGGTACGGAGGGTGCGTATAACACGTTATCGAACATTGAAGACATGTTTGATACGCTACCTCCCCGAGCGCAGGAAGGGTTCCAGCAAGCCCAGGAACTTCTGTACGCTTCTCTGACTGTTGGGGGTCAGTCGGTTACACAAGGGGCGTCGTCGGGGCAAATTCTATCTCAAGAAGAGTACGCCCCACCCCAGCAGACACAGTCCCAGCGGGTGAGGCATAGACCGGCGCTCCACATTGATGGAGGGAGAAAACGCCGTGACCGCAAACCCGCCGCTGCATTCCCCGGGAATGAAGAAGACGAAGAAGGTGAGATTTTTTTATTTAACTACAAATATATATATATATATTGTTTTTATTTATTTGTCCGGTTGAATTACTGATTTTTTACAAAAATTAATTATTAGGTGAAGAAGATGAAGAAGAAGGCACGTCTGGACCGACCGCAGCATCGTCTTCTTCGGTACCAGGGTCTCGGAGAGGGTCCCGAATACGCAAGCCTAAGAAAACATTTACTCCTAGTTGGTTTGTTTTGTATTCTGTGATTTTGTGGATATTTTTTTTTTCTTTTTTTTTTGTACTGGATTTTCAGATATTTATTCTTGATGGTTTTGTGTACATATTTTGCGGTTCACTTTTTTTTTTATCGGTAATTGTGGTTGACTTTTTGTATATAGTGTTTCGTGTATGTATGCATGCTAGATAATTATTTGACGAATGAATTGATATTAAAGTGATATAATTTCGTGTTCAAAATGTTAAATCAAAATTTATAAAAAAAACAAAACCTTCATATTGAAGGATAAGAATAAAAATTCAGCCAAAATAAACGCGATCACTGGTAAACTAGTTCGTGAGCATCCAAGAGTCGAGCCTAACTTAAAAAATAAATAAAAAATAAATAAACACGGATTCTTAGAATCCGTGTTAATTTATTTATTATTTTTTATTTTTTTTTTGTTATTAACACGGATTCTAAGAATCTGTGTTAGGTAACACGGATTTTCATAAAACGTGTTTGGTTCAATTAATTAGGGTTAATCACGTCATTAAGGAAAGACGGTTCTGAAAATCTGTCTTTTGCTCGAAATTAAGGAAAAACGGATTCTGAGAAACCGTGCTTCCTTAAAACACGGATTCTCAGAATCCACCTTTTTTATTTTTTTCCAGACAGCTTTTTGTTGATTTATTTTTGTCCACTTATTTTTTTTAATTAAATAAATGATTCGTTAACTAAACGTGTTTTAAACGATCAATAAACGAGCCCAACTTGGTCGATAAACGAGCCCAACTTGTGACCTAACAAGTTACATCTAACCAATTGTATTCAATTCAATTGAATAGGATACAAGGGATGCTTGGATACAAGTTATCTCAAAAAAATTTAATTATTTTTAATCAATCACTTTTATTAATTCAAAACACTTTAACACAATTCAACTATCTTCAATATTATTAATATAATTAAATAATATCAATCAATCATTTTTACACATTACATCAACTTTAATTTACTATTTATTCACTTACATAAATGACTTCACATCACGTCTTCTTTACTTTTATATCAAATCAATTTTAATTATTTTATTTTAATATAAATTAAAATTTTCATTAACAACTAATCACATCTCATTTTTTAAAATTAATCAAACCAACCCAAAAAAGTCAAAAAAATCTTATATCCCAACCATGTAATGATTGGAAAATTCACATTTCCTTTCAAACTTTAGAATTAGGATTTGACATGAGTCTCAAATCCAACAAATGAAGTGCATTATGGAATTGAACACATATTTTAATATGAAGAATTTTTTAATCATTCTTTCACCATAGCTTCTCTAGCTAATTTCAACCAACCCTTATTACATAATAAGACTTTTTTGCTTTAAATTCTCTAGAAGAAAATCATACGAGTTATTCAGCTAAGAATTCACAAGATCAGAACAACAAATCAACAACACCAAACAATAAAAAGAAACACAGACATTACAAATTAACATTAAACAAACGAAGAAAATTACATAAATAATATATCATATATCACTGACTCAGATCCAGAAAACCAGCCGGCCGGGAGCAACAGTTCAAGCAAAAACTAGTGGAACAACTCAATAGTTCAACAAGCTAAAAGAGAGAGATCTCAATACACTTTCAGCGGATAAAAATAAGGAATAAATAATACAGTAATAGAACACATACAAAAATCGAACTGGAACCTTTCATTTCATCTCCTGCATCGTGTAATGGCTGAGCAGCTCCTGGTGTAAGGGTTCACCGGCCCGTGGGCCCGGAAACAGTTGTGCGTGTAGTACGATCTGCCGGATCGGGCAGGGCAGGGGACCCGATTCGCAGAGAGCGCCCCGTACGAAATGTAGTACCTCCTCCGACCCGGCCACTTCCAGTAGAGAGATCTACGCGGCAGCCCGTCCTCGTCTTCGCCTTCCTCCTGCTCGATTGTCTCCGGGTCGAGGTGGTACTGAGCGTCGAACCCCCATTCCAGGGTTTCGTTCAAAATGCCGACGCCTGCATTTTGTCCGGCGAGCTCGGCGTCGGCGCTGGGGTTCGCGAAGGTGAGTAGGATGAGGAAGAGGGATAAAATAGAGATTATTAGGAGGAATTTGGCAGCCATGGGGGTGAGAGGGGAAATGTGTGTTTTGGGGAAGGGAAATGAATGCAAACAAGTTGTGTGGGTGTATGTGAGGGAGAGAGATGGGGAAATTGAAGAGACTGAGAGGTCACATCACATGGAGGAAGAAGATAATGCGCCGAGGGTTGATTTTCAGTCTCGTGTGCTGTAATTTTTTCCTTGTTTACCGCTTTTACTGTCTTCTGATTTTCTTTATTTGGAGTAAGTATTAGGAAATAGAGAGATGCTACGGTTCAGTTATGGAACCATTTCAACGATTTTTTATTTATTTAGCATGTAGGTGTAACACTTATTTATTATTATTTTATACTCAGTTAGTTAGTTACAGCTAATTTTGAACTCGCTCCTCGATTAATTTGGGAGGTAAATCGCGGGATGTGCCCATTTGTCAGTTGTATCGCTCCCTTTATACTTTAGCGCCACAGAAAGTCTAATGTTACATAAGTGATTACCAGTTTGTCATTTTTCCTCCAAAGGAGTGAATATTTGTCGTTACATAAGTGATTGCCAATTTATCCACTTTCCTCCAAAAGAGTAAAAAGCTGCTGAGGGTTCCCTCCTCTCGGCTTCGATGCCCCTACGTAGAGCATTCGGGCCCAGCATTCGGGCCCAGCGAAGGCGATCATGCTACCAGCAGGCTATGCCCCGGGAGGCATGTAGGTGTATTATTTATTAGTTTTAAAGAATATATAAGAGTATGTATTATGGTTAGGGCTGCAAACGAGTCGAGCAGCTCGAGTGATCGAGTCAATGCTCGATTCGAGCTCGGCCAAACTCAGTCTCGAGTTGAGCTCGAGCAAATGAGTCGAGCTTTGAGCATCATTTTAACAGCCTCGTAAGCTCGACAAGCCGCTCGACTTTTCATTTACATAAGTATTACATATAGTTTAGCTATCGATATTAGAACACCAAAACTAATATTGTTGATGGGTGTCGAATCCAACAATAATAAATTACTACTTCTAAAATAACTACAGTAGTGGTAAGCAGAATCATATCCACAGGGATTGGCTAGACAGAGTATTATGCAACTATTCGTGAAAGAAATAAAAATAAAAATGATGGGGGGTTTTGATGATTTTATCTTACTACGAAAACTAAAAAAAAAAAAAAAAAATCTAACTAGGACGAAAACACAATGTGTGACTTAAAATAGAAAAAATATCCAACCAAAAGAAAATATTATAGAAATGGTCAACGATTCGATCACGAATGCAAAGATAATTCTCCTACTCTCGATTAAACTGGTTCTGGTTATTGGTACGACCTAACAACCTATCCTTCCTTACTTGTTCGATAATCAGGATACAGTCTCTAATTATTTCTCTAATCAACCGACAATCCTAGATACGATCATAGAATTTAATCTATCAATATCGTTAAAAATTAGAAGGACCACCAATTCTATACAACAAACGCACATGTATGATCATTTAGACTAGATCATATATCTGTCTAAACATAAAATCGAAAACTCTTAGTAATCAATTATGTTCTTTGCCACAAATATTAGAACAGTCAAACAATTACGGCTTTAACGTTCTAATTAACGATATGCATGCGTTCAACAATTGAACAAATGGCCAGTTTGCATCAATCAATCAAAACACAGTTGATAATAATCACAAGAGATATATAAATAAATCCAAATAGGGAATAGAAAATTTAATTAGATCTCACACATCATGAAGAATCAAGTTTAGAATAATTCATTGGCTATAAAAATAAATTAATTCTCCATAAACATGGGAGTCTTCTCCTAATTATTCATGAAAATTAAAATTAAAGAAGAAAAGAGAAGAAGAGAAGAGAAGGGCGTGCGTGAGGGAGAGGAGAAGGGAGATAGAAATAATATCTAGCAGTCTGGTTTTTAATCAAACTACTCTAATCCTCATCCTGCCAGAAAATACGTAGAAAATAATTACATCATTTTCTCTCCAAAATATCCCAATAAAAATATAATAGTCCATAAATAAATAAATACTCAAAAAGTTTTTTATTTCTCTTTCCAACTCAAGACTCATTCCTCCTTCCAACTCTTGTAGGAGATTAGCGTGTCCACGTCTTAGCTCAAACTCGTTTCTTCCGCCCTCTCATCATAAAATTTCAAATTTTGAGATATCCTACAAAAATTATAAAAATCAGTTAAAATCAATAATTAAGCTCAAACAAACATCGAAAAAGTATGAAAAATATAACAATTAACATGCCAAGAATACGACTTATCAAATCACTCCACACTTAGATGTTTGTCCTCAAGCATCAAGTCAAATTCATCATCTCATCTCATAGTCATCCGTGACCAACCCAAAACTATTTGCACACATAAAAAACATAGCTTAAGAACTTATGATTGATTTACCAAAACCGAGTATGATTCGGATAAAAAAATAATTGTTTTTAATAAATAAGTTACAGAAGTAACTAAATTTTTTTTAAAAAAAAAAATCACTAAAATAGTTATTGATTTTTCTTAAAAAAATGAACAGAACAAGGCATTCAAGTTTTAAAAACCCAGTATCTATTCGGAACAAAAAGAAAATATTATCAAATTAAAATTTACATATCACCTACATCTCATAACTTGATCCACTCGAAAATCAATATGAATATAGATACAAAATAAAAAAGCTAAAAACTACGATACATTAACATTTCAATGTTTATGGATTCTTTTTGTGGTAAATATATGATTTCCCTAAATAATATATTTTACACTATTTTCTGAAGATATCTAACCTTTATTACTATATTAAAAATAAATATCGAATGATGGAATTAACTTTATGCGAAAGAAAATATCACTTTAACCCAGGACCATTTATATTGAATAATCAAGAACTATAACTGAATAACGGAAGAGTACCTGATTATTTCATATCGACTAATTGCATTGGAACTCAAGTTTGATTAAAGATTGAAGTTCTTCTTGAGACCGTGATCCCATTTATTTTGTCTTCTGACGTAATGAAGAACTCTCTTGTGAAGAGGAAAGCGTAGCGGTTATATTTCTTTTGACGTAATGAAGAATATTAAGGCCCCTTTTATTTATCATGTTTTGGGGACTCCACCCATTATTTATTTGGACCCAAATTATTTTGTTAAATAAGTCACTTTAAGTTTAATATTATTATTTATTACATCATCATATAATAATATTACCTGGTGTACACATTTAATCAATCTACAATTTAAATTAAGTTCCTTAGCCAATATATCTATACAATAATTTGATCACTTAATTTGGGTAAAAAATATAATGATCCAATGTATCAATTTCTCATATTTAATCACAAAATAGATATAACAATCTCCGACTGGATTCAATATATGCAGTCCTCATAATACATTATACTTTACGAGCTCAAAGTATGGTCATTATTACAAAACTTTAACAATCTGGTTCATTAATCACAACAACATAGGACTAAAGCGGTTTTCTCCATGTAGCAACAGCTAAACTATCAATAATCGCATATATCACCTTGATTAAATGACATGATTAAACTGTGGAACATGTGGTTGAATGTTACATGAATGTGATCCTCACATGTCAATTCTCAAGTAGTCCTAACTTAATAAGACCGTCAAGTACTGAAACATAATGCACGAAGTGTCGTGAAACAAAACTTTATTTCGGATCAGAATAAGTATTTATATATCATTGAATAAAAATGAAAAGAATGTAACACATACTCCATCTAGAGTGAAGCTTCAAACTCCCACTAGAGTGAAGCTTCCTTAATATGTAATACACCCATATGGGCAGTATGGTCGTGAAATACCATTGGCTGTTACACCATTAGTTAAGGAATATGCTAACATAGATTTTGTTCCTAAGTGTTCGATGAAAATGTGACCACTTTGTACCCTCTCCTTCACAGATAGGAACTTAATGTCAATATATTTTGACTTGGATGAGCTCCTATTATTGTTGGAGTATATACTTAATTTCAAAAGTTGTGTTATCTATTCAACATGTTCATTTTTTGTTCTCAAGAATAAACCTTATAATCATTATTCGTGCATCGCACGGGATACGAAATAGTTGAAATAAAAAAACAAAAATCATATGGAAAGATTTTATGTGATAGGAGCCAATTAGCATAATACTAAATATTTATTTAAGGAATGTTACAAAGACTAAGTCCTTAGCAATGAAAATAATTGTATATACAAAACAAAGTAAAAAGCACGCTATTTGGTCATGTAGAATTCGAAAGCGTGCGAATCTGCCACTTATACTCAGCATATTCGAAAAGTTTATATAAAAGGAATATTGATATATTAAAGAGCCTATAATTTTTCACATAAAGTCGACTTAAACCCTTTTTTTGTAAAAAACAATAATATCGCTAATTACATTATCACAAATTTTAGTGTGAAGCAATATGATTATTAAGCGGATTGACCCATGATACTATTTGAACAAATATGCATACTTGTACAACCAAATATTCTTTATGCTTTTAAAAAAATGATATACGAAAGACTTCTAAAATCGACCGAGCGTCTCTCTCCCTGCGAAAAGACCTACCCACTTTCCATCACCGGTTTTCTCTTCTCTCCCGTCGTTTTGCCTTCCTCGTCACCGGTGAAGTTCGGGCCAGTGGTCGCCCTCGACCGCTCAGCCCGTCCCTGACGTCGAGTGTCTTCAATTTCTCCGAAGGACTGCGCTTTGGGGGTTTGGGGGTCCGTCTGCTAGATCGCGATTGGAGGTCCATCCTCGGTGGTCGGCGTGGATGCGATTGCGGTGGAGCGTCCTCGATTGGAGTCAGATGGTCCTTCCCTGGTTGCCGGCGGGTCCTCGATTGGGCGGGGTTGCACTTGTCGGGCTTGGGCTATTTCAGGTGGGACGGTCCTGGGTTTGGCTTTCTCGTTTCTGGTGGGGCTCCGGATGGGGATTGGGTTCTGATCGCCGGCAGATTGTGGTTCAGCTGGGGGTTGGGCTCTCGGCTGATCTCTGGCTCTGACCACGGGCA